ACCCTAATTCTATAAAAAAAATACATTTATGTATGAAAGTGTCTAGGTTCGTACGGGGCTTCACCGACGGTTTCACTGATATATTGATGAACTATTTAACCTTGTGTTATCTGTTTCAATACTCTTATGCAGTAATTACGGAAAATCCAGTTTAATTCTGATAACAATATCAAAATATATGCCAGTAGTGAAGGCACATTTCACACAAATAAAATAACACTGGGGGTTGGTTTAATCAATATAGCGACTACAGTCGTATATATTTCATATGAAACAAACAAATGGGGCGCACATTGAGAGTATATCATTTCCAATATAGTAGTTTTATGTAAATGATGCCTACTTTTAAACTGTCGTAATTTTTAGATTCCGATTGGAGTTTCCCCTATTCGTATTTGTTATCTTCCAAAGGAATAAATGAATGTATTAACCGTTTTGATTTATAACGTGTTTTCGAGCAACATAGTTTTACTTTTGTTTTTAATAAGAAACTTCAGAAAATGATAATGTAAATGTGTCACAAACGTAAAAAACTTTTCACAGGTATTTAAGCAGTGCATCCAAGTTTTTTTTTTTAATAACTTCGTGCTCGTGCTCGTGAGCCAGGCGTAACTCAGGGCCTTAGCGTACGCCCTAAATTTCACAACACACGAGCAACCCAGGTTTGAAAACCGCGCCGGGCCACCATTGAAATTATTGATTGCAATTTTTAGTGCTATATTACCACGTGCTCGGCGATAAAGGGAAACATCGTGAGTATGCAGGTCGCATGTCTAACAATAAAATATTTCGAAGACATGTGAGAAATTTGACAATAGGCATTAGAGCAGCGCAGCAGACTTATCGGTTCATAACTCTTTAACAAATGAAAGGAGGTCATTACCCAGCCGTGGGATGTACATAGGCTGTAACATTACTTTTAATTTACTTTACATATTTAACTCCGCTCACTCTAACTCCCGTGTAACGGCGAGGACGAATATCATTTCTTTAGCCACAACAGTGTCAAACTCGCGTAACGACGACAGGAAACTCGTTTCCTCAGTTTCCATTAATAAAAGACATCAGACACATACCTTCCTCTTCACAGCTAACAACAGTCAACTTCTGAATATAGGTCTCCCTCATAGGGGGGATTTTGTCGTCGTTGTCACACTTGAGTTTTTTTATTATTTTGAGTTGTGCTGCTGCCCATCTCTTATTTCAGTTTCCCTCTGTCACCTCTAACGACACCAATGGGACGATTTGGGGCGATAGATATTTTTATACCGCCACTACACGGTAAAGACACATACATCATCATCATTACAGCCTTTCATAAGTCCACTGTTCTACATAGGCCTCCTCCAAGGACTGCCATAAAGCACGGTCCTGAGCCACCTGCATCCATCGACTTCCTGCATGTCTTACCAGGTCGTCACTCCATCTAGTGGGGGGTAGCCCTACACTTCGCCTACCGGTACGAGGCTGCCACTCGAGAACCACACATACAGTGGTGTTCTAATAAACTCTAAAAATTTCGTTTTTTTCGCAATTTTCTCAAATCGACATGGAAGTACATGGAACTGAATAGATCGCGATCACCATATTAACTACTTAGTAATCGTTGTCACAATTTTATAACATTCACACCACCGCCATTAGAATGCAACAAGATCACGATGGCGCCGTGTAGCGACAACATCAACGAACCCATATCATCCCGTGGCTCTTAAGATGCGACAGAAGGAAATGAAACGGGAACGTGCGGCAACGTCTTCTTGATACCAACACAAAATAAGTTGAAAAGGAAATGAAAAGGAGTGTGTAGCAGCATCTTATCGATACAAACACAAATAATAAATAAAACTGCAGTTGCCGACCCTACAAAGCGTAGCAACTATAGAAAATATCCCTTCTATGAGAGAGGTCCATGTTCAGCAGACAAAAGTTAGGCTGTAATGAATGAATGAAATATTAAAAGTGAAAGTCCCTGAAAAAATAATTGGTGTAAACTTACTTATACCTAAATATAGTAGTAAATGTTGCAGCATCGAAGACTATGCGCTCGCATTAATTGCTACTAGTCACCATTTAAATTAAATAAATATTGTGCTTAGTGATTATATTTTAAATAAATAAAAACCTTAATTTTTTCATTAAGCAGTTAGGCTTTGCCATTGTCTAGGAAATTAATTAGGGGGTTCAGGGGGCTATAAGTTTAAGGAAGTTTACACTACAAGTTACACTGTAACAAAACATACTCGTATACTTACTACTTGTAATCATTAACAGGTTAAAATTAAATGTGTTAACTACAATATTTTTTTATAATTAAGGTTTTTTAAGAAAAAGCTAGCAAATATTTAATCCTAAATAAGAATAAATGAATCTTATATATTTGTTTAAGTTCTAGACTTATGTGAAGTATATTGATATGCATAGTATTTTCAATACGTTTGTTTGAAAGGTGGAAGTATTTCCAAATAATATTCGGTCACCAGGCACACATAACTTTAAAAGGGTAAATGATTTAATTATGCGCATAGAATTGTCACTGCTCCACTTAATTTGATTGTTGGTGACACATATATGCAAATGATACGCTACGACTAATTGAATATCTTTGTTCTGTGGAGTGTGGGTATATGAGATGGCTTTTGGGTACCTTACCCCATTTGATAATATCATTAAAATTTATTACACTTTTCCATTTGTGTGCAAAGGATGCTGTAAAAATAATATTTCGAATAATTTTACAATTTTTTTTCCATTTTGTATAGAATTATATCTTAAGTAAATATAGAACATTACCACTCACTTCTGCAACATACTCGTAAATTTACTTTGTCACCCTTTCCTCATTCATTCTTTCTACGTATCCAAACCACCGAAGCGTTTCTGTGGTTATTAAAGCTGGTCACAAAATCTTCTTGAAAACTACAATTTTCTCTTACCAAACAACTTCTCACCCTATCATTCAGTCACACCCGACATACTTCCAACTAACCCAAGCATACCACTGCAAGACTTCAAGACACAGTAAGTTCATTCTGCGTAGATCGGACCAAAATTAATAATTAAAAAGCTGAAGGTACTCCGGGTTAACTCTGACATCGGGACGTCAATCACCTCAGTCCCTCGTGACCACGGGTTTCGTAAATCACCCGAAACGTCGGGAATTAATAAAAATTATGTAAATAAATTAATTAAACGCGAAAAAATCCGTAAAAGTAGTTTTATTCAATGTGTAGTGTTCGCGTAAATATAAGAAATCATTACCATACGTACCTTTTTTAAGACATTGTGACTTGCCACAATAGAGTGAAGACTATAAGAATAAATATATAACTGCTAAAAAAATCACACCAATACATTAACCAAAACTTATACAAAATCTGTTTGTTGATACAATCACAATTTATACAACACATAGTAAACTAATGATTGAAGTAGATACTAACTGCAACTCATAAATACAGCAGCATTTTACCAATAGCATCAAAAAAAGGAAGAATCTGTAGCTATAAATCTGCCTATCGTTCGGAGCTTGAGCTCACACTGAGGCCGGTCACATACATACGGAATTCCGTTTCGAGATTCCGTTTCGATATTCCGATTCGGAATCCCGAACGCAGCAAATCTATATAAAACCTATGGCCCGTCACACACGTAAGGTAGTTTTCCGTTCGTAATTTTGCGGGCAAAACGGGATTCCGTATGTGTGTGGCCGACCCGTTCGGGATTCCGAAACGGAATCTCGAAACGGAATTCCGTATGTATGTGGCGGGCCTAACATCACATCAAACTAACAGCTACAATATAAAGGGATTATTCATAATATGCGTTTCTCGAGAATCTCTTTCACATATTTTTCTCGATCTTAATTGATCGTTATTATATTTATAAATTTTGACAAAAAGTAAAGACTGACTTTGAATTGCTAAAAAAATAAGTTATTTATTTGATACCCTTAGGGTTGAAATTTTTTCTTTAAAATTTAATACGACCACCCTTGATGTAAAGCCTGTTTAATAATAAAAAAAATATCATCAAAATCGGTTCACAACCTGCGAAGATATCACGTAAACACACATACAAAAAAGATCTTACTTACAACCTTCGTCACTCAACTTTCAACCGTGAATCTTGCCACAGATTCTTTGACACATCGATAATAATTTATTTAAATTATAGTTTTATTCTTAAAAAATGTAATGAAATCATTATTATGCTGTAAAATGTCAATGAATTTAATCGATAATTCAATAGACATCGTTATCATTAGTGTTTCTCATAATTACATCTTATATAATGGTTAGAACTCCAATGCTCTATAATGTTTTTATGATAATACCTACACACGAGTTTCCATCAATAACAACATTAAATGCAAAATAAGTATAAAGTAGCGCAATTAAATTAATATGTTATTACGTACTTACCTTTTATGTTTGAACTATACCACATACTCATACCGTCAAGTCTATAATCCCCGAGTACCGACTACCTATATAATATATAACCCATAACCATGGGACCTATATAAGTCCCATAGCAACATGATCTTTATTGAACTGCACCGTGGCTTTTATTATAAAATTTATATACTTAGATTTAGCAATGTTTTTCAAATACTTATCTTTCATGTGAAATTTTTAATCCAGATTTTAATTACCAAACCATAAAACCTACACTATAAAACGAAAAAAATACGAAACACAACAAGATTGAAAAATTCTGATGATTATCATTTAATAACTTTAAAGCTCATAGGTATATTAAATAGTTTAAAAATATAATTCTGTATATAAACGTAATTATATTATAATATGTATATATATATATATATCATTTATGTAATTAACACATAAGAATATGAATAAAACTCTTCATCTATTATGTTTAAAATAAAAAATAAACAATAGTTTTATTTTTTTATTATGAACCTGTCACTGGCTGTGCACTACTAAACTAGCAGTCCAAAATCATTAATACTTTTAAAATATTTCACAAAATGGCTAAACGTTGGTGGAGCGCATGGTCTCTTTTATCCAGTCTAGATAGCTGGCGACAGAAGAATATACCCCGGGCCAACCTTCTCGTCCACATCCATATCCAAATGAAACAACGGCAACTGTTTCCCAAGCTCCATTAGGCCTCTTCCTCATTAGTGGACCGCCAGAATCTCCTCTGCATGCATCTTCGGCAAATGCGCCACCCGCACATATTTGTTTATCGGTTAAAATGGCACCAAGTTTTTTATATTTGTTTAGACATTCAGCTTTATTGAATATAGGCATACCAAGCTTCAACTTTACGGGGCTACGAGTTCCTGCAAAGTAAGTAAATAAAAATTGTAAATATGGATTGAAGGATATACCCCTTGTTAATTGATTAATAATAGATCAACTGATACATATACGTGGTAGAGTCACGCTGCAGCTATATTATGGTTGTAGCACGAATAAGTTGGCTCGACCGCGGTGGGACCACGCTCTCACAGAATGCCAGCGTAAAATAGCAGGTTAATGCTGCTGTGTTTCGTATGGTGAATGTAGAGAACCGTAGACACTTTTTACTGTGTTTTGTGTCCTCAGGAGTGACAACGCATCTGCATTTTGTTTCGTAGTTGAGGATAAATGTGGATGTTTATGATCCATCATCGGGTGGACTGTGTGCTTGTTTGTCACCCTTATCCTATAAAAAAAAACCAACATCCAATGTGAGGTTCTCGAGTGGCAGCCAAGCGCAATTTTGGGCGCGACTCATCACTAGATTGATTGGCGACCACGTTCTTCGAGCCACAAGACCATCCTATTGTTACATTAAAAACTTTATCCCTTATTTTCAACCCTATGGAACTTAGTCTTCAAATTTACTACGTTTGAGGTATAACCTAAGTATTTTAAAAAAAGATTATTAAATCTGTTCACAATTGTCTAATATACAAAAAAAATACATTCGGATTGAGAACCTTCTCCTATTGTGAAGTTGGCTAAACTTAAGAGCTAGTAACACAGTCTAGTTTTTTAAAATAAAGGAATATACATAAATTAATAGGTGTAAGAGCCTTATGTAACATGCAGGGAGTCTGTGGTTGCAGGTGGCGTAGAACTATATTTTAGGGCAACCTTCGAGGAAAGCCCATGTTCACCTGTGGACTAGTGATAAGCTGTATAAATTAATGAATGAATATAAAAATATAAGTAAAGTAACAAATAAGCAAATTGAAAAGCAGTTAAAATTATTGTTCGAGATTTTAATTTTTAATAGTTCTGAAGATAGATTTATACGTGGTAGAGCCATGCTGCAGCTATATTAGTTGTATAGTTGGGGCACGAATGGGTCGGCTGGACTGGGGACGGACCACGCTCTCACAGAGTACCAGCGTAAAATGGCAGCTTGACACAGCTGTGTTTCGTATGGTGAGTGTAAAGAACCGGAGACCCATTTTACTGGAAAAGAGGCATTCCATCTTAGTCCTCACGGGTGACGACGCATCTGCATTTTGATTCTTTATTGAGGATAAATTTAGATGTCTATGGGTCACAGCAACCACTTACCATCATGTGGACTGTGTGCTTGTTTGTCACCCTATATTATTAAAAAAAAGATAGATATTTACATGAAATCATACTTGAATAAAACTGTCACCAATAAACACTTAATAATTTAGCATTTTAGTGGATAATATGGGCATCACACAAATCAGACATTAATTATAACCCATAATTACTTTAATAATTCAGTGTAGGAAATATTATTTTGAATTATTTTATAATTGAATTTCAGTAAAATCGCAAAATCATAAAATTAATAGCTTTTAAACATACCAGCTAAGGTTTTCCCCCAGCCAGCCACAAATACGTCAGAGCCAACATCCAGACGCAAGCTGTTGTCCACTAAGCAGATTGGCTGAACGTAATCTATAATAACAAAAAAAGAAATATTTATTTATTAAAAGCATTTCTTAGTGGTTATTACTTAACATTTTTACATTAACCTAGTTAGTGGTAGTAGTAATGGGCATTTAATATACGGAATAAGGTTGCCTCTCTTTTTTGAAATGAAATTATGTGATGTTTATCCGCCATAATATCAGTGGTGTGATTCTCGATAAATTTTAAAAAATTGTATTTAGCTAATTTTAACCTTAAAATTTAATCCACAATTAGATTTTTGCACCAGCCATCGATATCTGAAGAATCGTGCTAAGCCCCCGGAGCTCCCTCGATTACTAAATATTATGCGTGTCAAAAATGCTTTAAATTAAATTTGAAACTTAAAAATAAAACGTATTTGATGAAATAAACTATTAATAAAATAATTACAGGTATATTTCACTCGCTGGGCAAGTCGCGCTAAAGCAATATCATCCTCTCTATTTTTCTTTCCATCAACGAATCCAGGGTGAGCATGAGCCGATATTACGGGAATTTCTTGATAAGGGTCTGCACAGTCACGATCAATACAATCTATATCTGTTTGAATATCGTATTCACCCAATCGGGCAGATGACCTGTAAAAGCAAAATTAAATTAGTATAAAAAGTAATAACAGGTTATTTTTGTACAGTTTAATATACTACAATTACACTTACAGTTTTCCAACAGCTTGTTCAATTTCGCCAACGACACAATGAGCAGCAGTCAGAACATATCGTTTATTAATCAGGACTCCACCACATTGATACGTCATTTTGTTTTCCTCTGAATAAAAACAATGTAAATATTTTGCATTGTTATATAGTTAAGAAAAGCAATACAATTTACAAATTGTGCCTAATACTTAAATTATGAACATTAAACTATGTATACTCGCATATTATATTATTTTATAGAATAGAATAGAATAATTTTCATCCAATATAGATTACAGTAATACTAATTATTAATACTTATTGAAAGTCATGTTTTACTTTTACCACTGGTTCGGAAAAAACCTCTGTCCTGGGAAGAACCAGCAAGAACACCCGCCGGGACTTTTTTAAAGCATAATTTTCAATAGAGTACGTGAGGGTAATATGGTCATCCGGTTAATATAGTCACTTTCTTATAACTCAAAAACTACAGCCTAATTTGCATAGATGGCTTTGTGATACGATAGCTCTTCATCAGTCATTCAAATAATAAGGGGTTAAGAGGCCGTCGCTTTATCGACGCCATTTTGACAGTTGATATTATAGTCAGTACGTGAGGTTAATATGGTCACCTTAAGCTTTATCACCCTATAAAACCAAAATTAGGATGAGAACAGAGACAAAAATACTAAGTCGTATACTATAACTAATATATTAAGAAAAAAATAGCAAACAAGCTTTGGAAATAATTAGGAACACTTTGAAAAATCTACTTAAAAAAACTAACTACACTACACAATACAAAAATCGACTAAAACTTTTAAAATAATATCAACTGTCAAAATGGCGTCGATAAAGGAGAGTCTTTTTGACCCTTTATTATTTGATAGACTGATCAAGAGCTATCTTATCACAGAGCGTTCTATGCAAACGACGCTGTAGTTTTTGAGTTATAAGAAAGTGACCATATTAACCGGATGATCATATTACCCTCACGTACTATAGTTAGCTTTTTTAAGTTGATTTTTCGAAGAGTTGCTAATTATTACCAAGGCTTGTTTGCTAGTTTTTTTCTTTATTGGTTATAGTATACGACATTGTGTATTTGCCTCTGTCCAACTCCTAGTTTTGGTTTTATAAGTCGGCAAAGCTTAAGGTGACCATATTATCCTCACGTACCTTATAATATTTTATACAATTATTATGAATACATTTAAAAACAGCATAGTAGCGATCACTTCATTCGCAGGGGTTATTATCAGTCATGTACTTTTTAGTAGTATAATAACCCTTACTAGACAATTTTTGCTTAAGAAATATTTTAAACCTTTTAATAGTTAAGGTCTGCATATTTTGTGGGACTCTTTGTGTTATATATTAACACGTGAAGAGAAAACTATGTAACGATTTTTGCATATTTCCCGCACAAAGTACATGGAGATTCGGCATATTTAAAGCTTATAATATGGAAAAGGAGAGCAGAAAGCTAAAATTTATATATAATATGTGATACTATGATATATGTACAGTAAATTATATAACTTGTAACGCCAATAGTCGCAGAGTAAATACAAGTCGCCAAAGAATTTTAAAATATTGATAACAAATAATTACTGACAGATTGAATTAATTTCAAACACTGGGCGACAACAAAAAATTATAAATACGTGTCAAGCACTACTTTCTGATAGTGAATTAAAGAAATGTTAGTTTATTCAAGAATTTATATTTTAAAAGACATAAACAGTAACGTATAACGGTCAAAAATAGATAAATACATAAAGACTCACGCTTGTCACTCAAAGGAGTAGACAAAAACTACGGACTTCTTCACGATCTTGTCACACCTCTTTAACCTCTTTCACATCCATACACCTACGCATACATACTCGGCGAGTAAGGGTACTCCTAATTTGGCCTATCTTCAATATATCGCCAATTTGTTCGATAAACTTCCGTCTCGGGAATCCCAAGGGAATCATAAGTGGCTTGGCAACTCTGACATTCACTTATGCAATGTACATTTGCTTTGTCACTCTTCCCTCACCCATTCTTTCTACATGACCAAATCATCGAAGGATTCCTTTCTTAATCATGTTTTTAAGAACACGTTGTGACTATCGTCTTCTTGCACACTCTTCCTTATCACAATTTCTCACCCTGTCATTCAGAGTCACCCATAACATACTCCTTAAAGTTCGCATTCCTATATCATTTACTCTACTTTCGTGCTTCTTCTGCCACACCCAATCACTTTAACAAAATGTTTATTTTTTTATAAATAGATATATACTTGTCTTATATCCTAGTAAGGCCATCCATGGAAATTCGTCTAAGTCTGTAAATTGTCCACCGTATATTCGATCTCCATTTGTATCTATGCCACATATGTCTTGTGGTGCTGGTAACGAGTCTTCCGGCGATACTGGGTCGACTTTCATGTTTGTTAACGTTGCTCGTGTTGTCAACGGGATAGGCTGAGAAACAAGCATACGATTTTGTTTATATACATAGTTATTATTCAAAATGTTTGAGGAGAATCGCTGCTCTGAATTGGATGCCCGACGTAATGAACTCAAAGCACGCCCACCTTGTGCGATTAACTATAATTTCTGTAATGATGTGCTCACCTGCCCGCATTGCTCGCGAACATTTGTAAATAAGATCGGCTACGTTAGCCATGCACGAGCACACCAACGACAGGATCGGAGTTGAAGAGGTCGCCGTGGCCGAAATCGGTCGAGGAGATTATTATTATTATTATTCAAAGAGTAGCCAAATTTTAATTTTACGTTGAAATATATAAATAATGATATATCGATATTACAGTTTTTGAAAATACAAGTAAATAAGGCTTCCACTTTTATTTAAAATTACCTCAAATTGATTGTGATTTATGGGCAACAACTACGCGTACGCACGATCCTGTTTGTGGAATTCGTACACAGATAAAAGTCTAACGGTGATAGTTCCAGAAAGTTTGCAGGCCATAGTATAGAGCCTCTGTGCGCAATCTTCATATTCATTATTTAAGTTATCGCTCACTACACATGAATAGTTTCATTAGCTGTCAATTGTTCTTTGATTGGACACGTACGTTAATTTCTTGCCGCGGTAGACTCACTTTCGCATAATCTTTGCGCGCCATGTAAACTTTCATTACTTAAAATGTAATACCGCACCATTTAATACTATTCGAAGTTTGAATATTTTTGTTCCGTCATTGATAACGAAGCGACACTAGCGGGACACTATGGTCAGCGGGAAAACGCGCTACAAACTATCTAAATTTTGTAACCTAGCGACCCTTATGAATGTGGGCGTGCGTAGTAAAATAGTAGAAGTTAAATATTTATGAATGGCAATCAGTTAAAACAATGCATTACAACGCATTCCTAATTTAAAAGATAAATGGACCAGAATATTTTAGATTCTTTTAACCGTCCAAGCAAGAAAATATCGTGTGAAAATCTTCACATGTGAGAAATAAAATATATTTTAATAATATTACGTCCTAGAATTCGTACTGCAACTTTCTCGCTCCATCAGCTTCTTATAAAATAAAGCCCATGCCTAGCAGTAGGACACTCATAAACTGATGCAATATATGTTTAACGGTTTCACAATGCCAACTAATAAAAATATAAACGATAATAAAGTAATATTTAAACTACTGTAGTGGACTCCGTAACCCCATATCATCCAATAAGTGTCGTTAGAGGTGACGGCGGGGAATGTAACAGGAGATCACCGTACCATCTTTTTGATAACAATACAATAAAATAAAAAAGCTGCAGTTGCCAACCCGCCTATCAAGCGTGGCAACTATGGCAAATATTCAATAAGGCAATATATGGAGGAGGTCAAAGTTTACCAGTAACCTTTTCATAGACTCTAAAGAATGAATGAAACATCTTAAATTACCCTGGATGTTGACCTCTCTGTAGGCAACGGCCCACAGCACACTCTTGGCACATATCCTTCAAACCCGCACTGAGACTGCCTAAGAAAGCTAATAACTTCATTTTTCAAAGGCCGCTCTTCAAATGCAGCCAACAAATCATTACATTTGTAGAGGGAAATACAATCACTCCTTTCTCCAAGTGGAGTCGTGCAAGTTTCTGAAACTGACACAATATCCATTTCAATAAGTGGTACAATATTTATGTTGTAATAAAGTGTAAACGCTCACAGATAGGTACCCATGCGCCCTTACGATAATATCGAAGATAGACTAAGATGTACATAATACAAGTATATGTATGTGACAAGCTCAAGTCAACTCAAACGGCAGATTCGAACGTCAGACCACCAGTCGAAGGGACACTAAATGGATTGACGACCTGATCAGATATGCAGCCAGTCGATGAATGCAGACTGTGTTTTGTGACATTCCTTGGAGAAGGGCTATGTTCAACAGTTGACTTCTGATGGGCTTAAATGATGATGGTGAGGAAACCAAACTTAGCTCCCAAGCTGCCTTTGCCGGAAATCGTTTATTGTTTAATACAAAATCTTCAGAAACATCAAGGAACAATTTTACTTTCAACAGGATTATTACGATGATAACTTGTTCTATATTGTTTTGTAAAAAAAAAACTCCCATCAGAGTTACCTCATTTTAATAAGGCTTTTTCTAACGAAGTAATACATTGGAACATAGAAAAACAACTTTTGAAAATCTTGTCATCAAAAAATACGAACGAACACTTAACATTCAGCAAGAAAAGTCCTTAAAAATTTACTAAAATCTAAGCGTTTATCTGTATTATTGAATTTGTAAGTTGATTTGAAAAATGGTTTTTATAAGACACATATAAGGAAAAAAGGCTAACAATCAATGCATCGGTAAATAAAATAAAATAAAGTTTTTACTTAAAAAGGTCATACATACACCACATAGTAAAAATTTGTTTCGGGGACATGCATTTAACTAAATAAGTAAGTGTGGCAGGATGCTCCGTTCTCCAAGAATAGCAATATACATGATATCTATAGGGGAAAAGCTAATCAACATTGCATACATGAATAAAAAATATTAAAAAATGTTTTTTTCTTAAAAAAGTCATACACTACACAGTAAAAGAGTTGGTTAGTGTAAATATATAGATGTGATACGATGGCCCGTGCTTATAGCACTCAAAAATTTTCATGTAGTACGTCCCTTGCCAACTACACCACTCACTTATACAGTGTAAACTTGATTTATCACTCCTTCCCTATTTATTACTTCTAAGTATCCCAATCACCGAAGTATTCCTTTCTTAAGTTTTCCTTTGGTAAACCATATATAGACTTAAAAATTTTGTTCAGTGATTCGTCACGATTTTAAGATCGTGGCTGTGCTAAATTACAAATAATTGCACCTACATCATATTTGTTTGTGTGATTATGAAACATTAATGACTTCCTCGCCGGCTTCTTAACTAAAACACTTCGCAATGTTTTTTTATCTTACATTGTCATGTATGTTTTATTGTGTAGAAGAAATTGCACAATTATTCCCATATTTGAATTAACAATCTGAACTATAATCATCACTATTATTTTTCCCGCGATATATTATTATTTCTGATACAGAAATAGTTGCTGAATAATCTAATTGTTACACTTAAGTCCTTAAGTCTTATTGTTACCAAGCTGTTGTTCCTTTATAAGAAATTTATCTCAAGTTGCCACAAAAAAGTAGTTAATACCTGCTACATATTTGTCTTTTTCTTTTTATGCTTATAAGATTAGTCATGTCAAATAAATACTGATTTATTATGCTTCTGTGGCAGTTTGCGAACTTCAAAATGCAAACCGCTTCTAACATAAAGCAGGAAAAAGTGATCGAGAAACAATCGGGTTACATGTATATTAAAATTTATAACGTAATCTAGTGTTTTTTATATGTCATTTTATAGCAAGGTTTTAGATTTTTAATATTTTAGAATTTGTATGTGTATAAATTGTTGTTAGAATATTGCTATTGTACAGCAAAACGATTCACGTGATCTTTGACCAAACGATAATGATATTGATAACTGCGTAGAAATAAATCATATTAATAACAAAAGCAATATAATCCTTAAAAAATAACAATTTCACTCACATACATGATTCCATAGGAATGACAAACCAAATACGACAATATGGCACTTCATTTTGATTCGTATAACAATAAACATTAAGTTTAATTCACTGACATCACTATTATTATTGTGTATAAAACCTTTGGTGTTACATAAAAAACTTAACAAAACAGCGAGATATCGCGTTCCTCCGCTTTACTATACTGGAGCGTAGAGGTCAACTTCGGTATTTATAAGTACATATCAAGATTCGCGTTTGTACCGTCTGCAAAAATAAAAAAATAAAATTTTAAAATTTAAAAACAATGAACACATAAATGTGGTTTAAGTATATAAATTATTAAAATTAAGTTTTTGTGCTTGTAAATTGATTGTGAAAAAATATGTTATGTATAAAATAATTATTGAAGTTACTATTCAATTAATAACATACTTCATGGTATAAATTATATTTCATTTAATCATTTTATACGGATATTTTATACAAAACGTTTAAAAAATATAACGGTTGTTCTATATAAAAAATTCTATGTACCTAAATTAAAAATTCACATGTTAATAAATCTTCTTTTCTATTTATTTGCTATCCGTATTCACTACATAGACGGTCCAACGTTACTTATTTCTATCTGGTTTGCATGCATGCGTCATTTCTGGATTTACCAGTTTCTGTGATACGATAGAAATAACGTAAGCATTTTCCTTCATTTATTTCAAAAATACGTACCTATTAAATTTTTTTATAAAAAATATGATTAAGTAAGAATGCAAAATTCTCTAAAACATTATTTTGTGAAGTATAGGTACGCTTATTGTACACGCGTAATGGTGTCATGCCTTAGTTCTTTAAAAAAAACATACATGAGTGTCGTGGAACACTCGGTTGGAACGAAGTTCCTTTCGTAGTATATTATTATTGATAAACGTATTAGATTATTGATTAACAAATACCAATAAATGAATTACTAACGTCTTTTAAATTGAAGCGTCCTTTAAAATAATATTTCTTTCATGGTAATATAAGAAAAAGTGCGTGAGAGATGGGTATTATTCCATATTTTTTCCATGTTTTTAAGGCCGGCAACGCATCTGGCGAAGGTAGTCACTTACAATCAGATGAGCCACATGCTCGTTTGCCCCCTCTCGAAAAGGGGTCATGACGGAAAAATCTTACACTTTTTCTCGCCTAGCCCCCATCCGACAAATTTGAACCGTGCGTTAAGGAACTTCGTTTCAATAACTAATTATAAGGAATCTCAGAGGCGAAAACTTTTACAAATGAATGTGAATTTATTACATGGCATGACAATTTGTTATACGAGTAGTTAGGTATTACCGTTTCAAGAAAAATATTATAATTAATTTTTCAAAAAAATCTTTAACTTTTTCGGATAAAAAATATCCCAAATTCTTCCTGGCATCGATCTCTATCTCTTCGTAAAGTTTCATCACAATCGGCTCAACCATTTCGAAGATTAGCTCTGACAGACAGACATACAGACAAAAAATTAAAAATATTTCAATAGCATGCAAATAACCCCCATTATATAAGGTTAATATAAGGTCAGGGAAAAAGTTTCTTCGTCTTTGATATACAAATTCAAGACATTTTTTCAAAGTTTCATCATCATCATTACAGCCCTTCACAAGTCCACTGCTGAACATAGGCCTCCCCCAAAGAATGCCACAAAGCACGGTCCTGAGCCACCTGCATCCATCGACTTCCTGCATATCTTACCAGGTCGTCACTCCATCTAGTGGGGGGACGCCCTACACTTCGCCTGCCGGTACGAGGCTGCCACTCGAGAACCTTTCTTCCCCATCGGTTGTCGGTTCTTCGAGCTATATGGCCGGCCCATTGCCACTTCAGCTTACTAATCCGTTGGGCTATGTCGGTCACTCTAGTTCTACTGCGGATATCCTCATTTCTGAGTTTATCACGCAGAGAAACTCCGAGCATAGCCCTCTCCATAGCTCGCTGAGCGACCTTGAGCTTCCTCATCCGGCCAGCAGTGAAGGACCACGTCTCAGTTCCGTATGTCATCACTGGCAACACGCACTGGGTGTACAGTCTCGTTTTCAAGTTTTGAGGTATACCTGACGAGAAGATGTGCCGTAATTTCCCGAACGCTGCCCAACCGAGTTGAATCCGTCGATTGACCTCTCGGTCGAAGTTGGACTTACCTAGTCGGACTATTTGTCCCAGGTAAACATACTCGTCAACAACTTCGAGCTTAGTGTTCCCAACAACTACCGGCATAGGTGTGACATGGACATTAAACATGATCTTTGTTTTGTCCATGTTCATCTTAAGACCTATCCGTTGGGAAAAACTATTGAGGTCATTGAGCATAGTGCTTAGGTCCTCCAGCGATTCTGCCATAAGGACTATATCGTCGGCAAATCGAAGGTGAGTGATGTACTCGCCATTGATGTTGATACCGTATCCTTTCCAGTCCAGAAGCTTGAAAACATCTTCCAATGCAGCGGTAAAGAGTTTCGGGGATATGACGTCACCCTGTCTTACACCTCTCTGCAATTGGATAGGTTTCGTACTCTGGTTCTGTACTCGGATAGCCATCGTAGCCCTACTGTACAAGCACTTCAACACTTCGATATACCGACAGTCAACTTGGCATCGCTGAAGGGACTGCAGCACCGCCCAAATTTCGACGGAATCAAAGGCTTTCTCATAGTCCACATACGCCAGACATAGTGGCAAATTGTACTCCTCGGACTTCTGTACAATTTGCCGAAGGGTATGTATGTGGTCTATGGTGCTAAAGCCTTTTCGGAAACCGGCTTGTTCGGGAGGCTGAAAGTCGTCAAGTCTGCGCGCGAGACGATTCGTAATGATTCAAAGTTTAATTACATGTAATTATAATAAATATTTGCCATTTTCATCGATGCAATCTTGTAGCTAGTGACATAATTCCGTTGCTGTAAAATCTTGAGATTTTTGATTAAAAAATGCAACAAGTAGTTTTAACAGTCCTCTATTGATGTTAACCTAACACTACCCAAAGAATTCTGAAGAGATCGAAACAGGTGAAATCTGAGGGTGTAAGGTCAGGACTATATGGTGGATGTATTAACACTTCCCAACCAAGCTCTCTCTATTTTGCTGAGTGGCCCAAGATGTGTGTGGTCTCGCGTTATCATGATGAAGGACCTCTCCTTTTCTGTTGGTCAATTCCGGCCGTTTTTTCTCAATTTCTTGCTTGAATCTCATTAGTTGTTGGCAGTAGAGATTGGATTCGATAGCTTTGCCCGGCGGTAAAAGCTTATAATAAACGATGCCCTTCCAATCCTACCAGTCTGTGAAGCTGGACTATCGTTTGACCATGATCTTTTTCGCACGTTCTTGTCGCAGGACCTGAGTGGGTCACCTACGTCGTAGGTAGCTACTACGTAGCCATGCTGCAGCTATATTATGGTTGTAGCACGAATGGGTCGGCTCGACCGGGGAAGGACCACGTCACAGAATACCAGCGTCAATTAGCAGCTTAACGCTGCTGTGTTTCTTATGGTGAGTGTAGAGAACCGGAGACCCTTTTTACTGGAAACGAGGCATTCCATCTTATTCCTCACGGGTGACAACGCATTTGCATTTTCATTCGTAATCAAAGATAGATGTAGATTTCTATGGGCCACAGCAACCACTTACCATCAGGTGAACTGTGTGCTCGTTTGTCACCCTTATCCTATAAAAAAACCTTGTATTTTCATATTCCTTTGATAAATGTAAGACTTACAACATTTATTTTAGTACACGAAGTTAACATCGCATTAACTGATATACTCGTAGATCATTTCATTTTGATATATTTTATTTTAATTTTAATTTACGACTTATATATAGGTGATTTGGATAACTTTTTTGTCTAAATGTCTACTGTTGAAGAGTCTCCATTCATTGATGCAACCTCAATTCTTATAAAAATTTGCAGTGTCACCGCAGTTCTAGCGTTCTGTTTCAGATTCTAGCTTAGATCAGTTACTAAATTCTATGGATGAGAGTTTGCAAAAATTAAATCGCTTATGCAGTATTGTTATAACAGGAGTCATAAATATTTCCATTGATGTTAATAAACTTCATAACTTTTCAGGTTACATTACCTAAATATTGCTGCCTATTATTAGTTTTTACCCGCTCAATCTTTTATCACTCGTGAGTCCAGCCATACTTGTATTAATCATAATGATTTCTTATATTTACGCATATACTACAAATTACATTACAAGTATATTAACTTGTTTAAAATTTCCGACGTTTCGAGTACTTCACAGCACTCATGGTCACGGGGGACTGAGGTGTTCGACGTCCGAATGTCATTGTTAACCACGGCTACCACAGACAGTTTTTTTCGGTCACGCATAATATTCCTCTGCAAGATATTCAAGCTTGATTATGAATGTGATCTCTCTTGCATAGGACAAACTAAAATATCAATAAAACTAACGTAAAAGAACACATAGCTGATGTGAAGAACCGACGCTTGGGGAAGTATGCAGTTTGTGAACACGTAAACGTACGATACGATCACGTCATAATGAATAAAAACAAAACTAATAAAAATGCAACTACAAGAATTTAAGATACTATTACCTCATTCTGCGTGGATCAGACCAAAAATTAATATTTTTAAATTTAAGATAGAATCCGTAAAACTTAGTTTCGTTTAATCGTATTGATCATTTATTTTAAAAACAAAATTTCCAGCAACCACGATAGTTATATTTATATATCTTAGTCATCATTACCAGTTATGTTATGTTTGCAGAAACAAATTCGTAATTACTTTACTCACATAATGACTGACAATAATTAATTGTTGAGAACTGAGACTAATTAAAAAAAAAATTATAATTAGCCTTTGTTCTCTTAAAAAAAAAGAGAACTGAGCCTAATTAGAATCAACTTGTAATCGATTTCTCAATTATAAATTTTTCTCTTGTTTCATCATCATCATCATCATTACAGCCCTTATTACTTGTCCACTGCTGAACATAGACCTCCCCCAAGGAAAGCCATAAAGCACGGTCCTGAGCCACCTGCATCCATCGACTTC